CTTCTGCAAGATCCTTCCTCTCGCGTCGGGGAGAAGGTCGCGGTCGTATAGAGACGACGAAAAATTCGGGCCACCATTTGGGCGCTGTATTCAAAAACACTGACCGGTAGAAGTGACGGCGGCCTGGGGCAGCGCCTGGCCGTGAGGGACTTGGCTGTCCACGACGACGACGGGAACTCGCCGCCGCGGCGGTCGAGGCGGAGGGAAGTGTCAACCGAACCCGCCCGTGGCCACGTCCGCGTCGATACCCTATTGATGAGGTGATGAGCTATTGTGTGCCCGGCTCGCACGCAGGAGCTCCTCTTGGTCGACGCCAGCTTATTGGAGGAATGATTTAGGGGCCGGGGCCTGTCTCCCTCTCCGCTGTCGCGAAGGAGGCAAAACTTCCTACTCACGCGCGCGCGCTCAGGGTTGAGGAAAGTAGTTTGTAGTACGGCACCCACAGTAGCATGACATTTTGGAAGCAACAGCTACTGAGATGGAACGAAACATTTTTGAAAGCATCATATTCGCTGTTCATAATATCGTAGTCCGGGTTAACTGTGTGTGGGGTGGACAGACACAATCCCGAAGCTCGAAGAGGGTTTCAAGCCGCATGTCGCCACAAGTTGTCGCAGGCTTCATCCCGAGGGGTCAACAACTGGTAACTGGTGTGTGGTTCTGTGTTTCGGGCTGACAGTAGTACTCCGGGTCCGGAGGTGTAGAGTAACTCTACTCCGGGTGCACTGCACTCTATGTACTCCGGGTGTAGTCCATGAACTGCGTCGACTTCGAGCATACACCGAGTGTACTCCGCGTACTCGAAGTGTACTCCACGTACTCGGTACTCCCGCTGTGTCCACGAAAAATTCGAGTCGTCGACCCCTCGCTTCATCGACCCCCGAGGAGGGCGCTTCGAGGGCCCACCCCGCCGGGTCCGGCCGGCCCGGGGTCCAGCAGCGGGGTCCGGAGGGGCCCGGGCCCTGACCCTCCACGCCCCCCGCGCGACCCGCCCGGCTGGGCCCCGGTGGGCCCCCGGTGCGCCCGACGCCCCCATGCCCCCTCGACTCCTCCTCGCGGGGGCACATTATATAAAGGCGGAGCGGCGTCGGGCGCGCGCCATTGTACCATCCGTCGTGCCACGGGCCGGACACTACTGGCCGGACACTCCGAACGCGCTCTCGAACGGTGACCGCGAAATCCGAAATCCGCACCCCCATCTCGAACTCGAAACAAATACAAAAGATCGACCGGCCGCGAAGGTGTTGAAGTTGTAGTGGCCCAGCTGTTGTTTGGATCTTGTACAGCCCTTCACGTCCGACCTGATCCCATCATGAGGACAACGGTGAGTTCTTTCACTAGATAACTTAACGGAAAAGTAATTAAGATCATCATTAAGCTAAATTAACATTTTAACTCAACAGCAATTTGGAATTGTCTACTTCTAATTTACACTACAGTATTTCTCTTCAAAGTTTGCACCAACAGAAGTGCAGTGTTTTAAACTCGTTTTCAAATAGGAACACAATCCAGGCAGGTTTGGATTTTTGTTGTGTATTTTTAGACATTATTGTGCCAAAGCCGTCTGGAAAAAAATATGCATTGTATTATTGGCAATAGATTGGCGTGGGCAGCAGAGGGGGAGCGGGGGCGCATGCAGGGCGAGGGCGTGGAGAGGTCCTCTGACACCTCGTCTGACACATCCCCCGCCGGCTGCCCGAGGCGCTCAGGACGTTGTTGTTGTGACGCCGGGTGACAAACGGCGCTCCGAGAGGGAGATGCTCTCCGGGACGACCAC